TGGCACCCATTGTGGTATGTCCAGGTCTGGAGGCAAGGAAGCGCTGCTGGCTGCAGTTCCCGGCCGCCGGGCCCCTGATGGGCGGACAGCTGGCGGAGGGAGCGGACCTGGGAGAGGGCGCTGACCCTCACAGCGGTCCGCAGTCCCACCCGCCTCGCCCCCGGCATCCCCGCTCTGCCCCCTTCACCCCCGCGGCCCCGCTCCTGGTCCAGAGACTCCGCTCCAGCCGGGACACACACTGCCCTGCCCGCCCGCCGGGCACACGCAGTCCCGGACTTTCCCAAACATGGGCTCCCGCCACCACCGGCACCGGCCCGCCGGCCCTCCCTGCGGGCACCACCAGGCGGCGCCACCGCCTCCAGGCAACCCTCGGGCGAGCTGAGGCCCCGGCCACGCCCCGGGCGATGCGCTCTCCGGCCGGCCGGCCCAGGAGGAGGGGAGGGGCTGCTCGGAAGCCAGGCGGTGACCACCGGGCCCAGAGGTCGGGGCAGGGAGGTCGGGGCAGGGGGACCTGCGGACACACTCGTGCCGCAGGGACCGAGGGGCCGTAGAGGAACGGCGATCTGGCGGGCGAGGGGGCGCGGAGGCGAAGGTCACACCTGGAGCGCGGAGAGCGGGACAGGGAGCCCGCACGGCGCCCTCCATCCGCACTTACCTGTGCGGCGCCGGCCGCGGGGGAGCGGAGCGCGGGTTCTGGCGGCGGCCCCACGCCTTCCCGCACGCCCCGCCCCTCCGCGCCCGCCCCGCCCCGAGCCACGCCCCTCCGTGCCAAGCTCCGCCCCAGAGCCCTGTCCTTCCGCGTCCCGCCCCTCCGTCCTCGCCCCGCCCCTGAGCCCCTCCCCTTCACGTTCGCTCCGCCCCTCAGAGCTTCACCACGCACCCTGAGCCCGCCCCGTCCCTCCGCTCTTCGCCCCGCCCACTGAGCCCCGCCCCGCCCCGGAGCCCCGCCCCGCCCCATCCGGGCCCCGCCCCTCCGCGCCTTGTAACGCCCCTGAGCCCCGCCCCTCAGTGCCACGCTCCGCCCCCTTCGGTGTCCCATCCCATCCCGCCCCTCTGCCCGAGCCCCGCCCTTCAGCGCCTCACCACGCCCCTCTGTGCCACGGCCACGCCCCCCGGTGTGACCACGTGCGGAGCGAGGGTTGGCCTGGAGGCCACCGGAGGTCTCTCTCTCCTGAGGCCAGACCCCTCTGGTGTCCTTAGGGTCCAAAGGCTCCTGGGAGCCAAAGAGGGGGAGGGGGAAGGAGGAGTGAACTTGACCCTTCAACTCCACCCCAAACTCACTCAAGCCCAGCTCACCTTGCTTCCTGAGCAAGGGCTCAGAGGAGAGCCAGCAGGGACCACAGCTTCCTCGGCCTGGCAGGACCTTTCCCAGCACCCCCCACCCCCATTCTGATGTTCTGCCGGCCTAGGGTGCAGCCGTGACCTCCTGGACCCCCCTTGGGCGGGGCGGACTGGCCAGCGCCACTCTAGCCTGTGACCTTGGCAAGTCCTCCTCGCCCCACTCCTGGGTCTCCACGCCAAGAGCGTGTTTGTCTGCGCCAGGGCCTTTGACCTTGGAAAGGATGGCGTAAGCCTAGTCCCGAGGATCTCCCAGAGGGGGAGGGACCAAGGTTCCCGCCTGTAACAAAGGAACCCACTGTCTGACGCGGTACCCTGGGAAGGGCCGCAGGCCAGTGCCCCATCACTTGCTGCAGCGTCCAGGGGTGACCCTGGGCCACCTCTGCCTCTCACCGCCCAGACCACTTGGGCAAAAGGGCGTGTCCGGAGGCAGCGCAAGTGCCAAGTGGCCACCAGCCCCTGCTCAAGTCTGCGGCTGTGGTGGGCCCTTCCCTGCCTGCCAGACTGAAGAGAGAGCCTGGTGGAGGGGTGCATGGCCAGTCCCGGGGTTCTAGCAGATGAGCCGGGTCTTGGAGGGTCTGTGGGTCCCCTGACACATGAGAGTGGGTCTTTGGGGCTTGGGGGGAGGGGCTAAGAGCTGGAGAGGGTCTGTGTGGAGAGAGCAAGGTCACCCAGGACCATGAGAGTCACCATTTGCAACCAATGGGGAAGGCAGGTCCCTGAGGAGGAGGCACTGGTCTCTGCTGGTGTCTCTGTGACAGCCCTCCCCTCTCCAGGCCTTGGTTTCCTCAGCTGCACCTGTAGCCGAGGGAAGCCGTGCTGCCTGGGCTCGGGCAGGAAGGGAAGGGCCCCTCAGCTTCCCCTCCTCCCCTGCGTCCAGACTTCCTGTCGGACCACACCTCAGGGCACTGGAGACCGGGGTCAGTCTTCCCTCACTCCCCCTTACTGGGTGACCTCATGGTCATTGCCAACTTCGGTTTCACTATCTGCCAGAGTGAGCCAGACCGGCCCGGCCCCTCCCAGCTTCTCCTGGGCGTGGGCCCAAGGTTGGCCAAGCTCAAGAGAGCCAGAGGGCAGCCACTGCTGGCCCACCTCCCTCGGCACCTGCAGCACAGCCAAGGGCCCTGTCCGACCCCAACCACCCACACCCCTGCACACGCATAGAGACCACGTAATGCAGTGGCATGTACTCACCTGTGCCACACAGACTCATCCACTGCAGAGCTCGCTGGCAGCCCTGCACATGGGCGTATGTGTACACGTTCACACGGACCCAGGTATATATGCTGTGGCGTGTGCATACCGGGACCCTCTTGTGTACGCAGATGCCGTGGACAGAGCGTGTGCCTACGCACACATAAGTATCACCCGCCCGGCACAGCCCCAGAGCTATTCTGAGCCAGACCCAGGGCCAGCACGGTCAGACTGCCAGCTCCCAGCAGGCCTCGGCTGCTCAGCCCAGGCTACGTTCCAGGTCCCCAGATCCAGGCTGATTCCGACTTGGGGGATCCCTGCTTCCTACCTCCCATTCCCCCAGAGCTCAATCTGGAGCCCAGATTGGGGCTCAGGAGAGAGCCCCTCACCATGTCCTCTGGCCACTGTGAATGGACTCTGCTCATGGCTTTCAACCCAGAGGCGCTGGATGCTGGACTGGGTTCCTACAGGAAACCCACAGGCGCTAAAAATAGTGCACAAGGGACAGATGGAGCTCTGCAGGCCAGCATGCACGAAGAGGAAGCGGCCTGCCAGGGAGGCAGGGCGGGGGGCCTGGGGGCCTGGGGAGCCTGGGGGCCCAAGCTCCACCCCTCACCCCCCGGGGGGCAGGGGGTCTGGGGAAGGGAAATCTCGTACGAAGTAGACACTGTGCTGGTCAGTGGGCAGAAGCCCGAGTTTGAGGCTCCTGTTCCTGAGTGTCCTTAAAGCACAACCCCACTCTGGGCCTCAGTTTCACATCAGAAAACCGGGAGAGGAATAACAAGACGGAGAGGGTGTTAGCTTTGAGGACATGCCCTCACCCTGGTGTTTGCTATGGGACATAGGTGTTGATTGAACAGTATCACTGGTGCCCTTGGGTGTCTATGCAGCGCCCTGAGCAACACCAGCGACAACATCAGAAGGACTGGCACTTCCTGTGATGTGGGTCCCGGCACTGCCGTCATACCCCTTTCATGGAGGGCGAGCTGGAGCGCAGAGCGGCGGCCCACAGAGGGCTGCAGTGGAGCGCTGAAGCCTGGCCGGAGCAGGCCTGGGGAGGATGGGTGGCCAGCCCCCAGGCTTGGCCACCGCTGCTGAGGGCCCCTCAGGAGGCCAGGGCCAGCCGTCCGGCCCTTGGCTCTCCTGGTTTCCTACGGCTGGCCATCTCCCAGGCCTGACTCTGGGTGTCTGAGGCTGGCCCTCCACCCCGCTGCAGCCTGCCTTGGTCCTTGCTCAGTATGGCACCTCCTGGCGGAGCCCCCTAGGCTCTGGGTCTATAGGGTCCCGGTTCTGAGAGTGGGCCCGGGCCCACAGCACCCCTGCCTGGGAGGTCTCCCCTGGTGTTCCTGGTGATGAGGGACGCAGGGTCAGCCTGAGTGCAGCTCCACACTCAGAGGCAGGAGATGTGTGATAATGGAACAAAGGGAGAGAGGAGGGAGGAGGGAGGAAGGAGGAGGGAGGAGGGAGGCAGGAGAAGGGAGGAGGGAGGCAGGAGGAGGGAGGAGGGAGGAGGGGAGAGAGGGGAGGGAGGAGGGGGAAGGGAGAGGGGGAGGGAGGAGGGAGGGGGGAGGGAGGAGGGAGGAAGGAGAGGGAGGAGGGGGGAGGGAGAGGGAGGGGGGAGGAGGAGGGAGGAGGGAGAAGGGGGAGGGAGGAGGGAGGAGGGAGAGGGGGGGAGGGGGGGAGGAGGGGGAAGGGAGAGGGAGGAGGGGGGAGGGAGGGGGGAGAGGGGGGAGGAGGAGGGAGGAGGGGAGAAGGGGGACCAGGGAGAGGGGGAGGGAGGAGGGAGGAGGGAGAGGGGGCAGGGAGAGAGAACACACACCAGAAGGCTCCCCACCCAGGCTGTCCCTCCTTCTCCTCCCCAGGTCTCCACACCTCACAGCCTCCCTCCCCCTCTCTTCCTCCAGCCCTGGGCTGTCAGGGCTCCCCCTGGGTCAGGACCAGGGTGAGAGGTGGGCTGGGGTCAGTGTGAGGTCGGGGCCAGGGCTCAGGTGTGACAGGCTGGCTCCTTCAGGAACCTTCCATGGCACCCACAGCAGCGGCTCCCACCATTCTACCCTGCCCTTCCCCCACCGCCCCGGTGTCCAGGGTGACCAGAGCTGCCTCCGGGCAGGGAGCCAGCCCAGGGCATCCCTGAGCGCCCGTCGCCACGGCAACCTGCCTGTGGGCGCAGGCACCTGGGTCCGGCACAGCTGTCATCATCCAGGACGTGATCAGGGGAAGGGCCTCCCACTGGGCAGATGGGAAACTGAGGCCCAGTGGGGAGGCAGGGCAGGACCTGATGTGGGTCCAGGTGGGGGGGGTCTGGTCCTCGGAGAGGCGGGCCTTCGCGCGCTCAAGAGCGGCCACAGCCCAGCAACCGGACACCAGCGATGAATAAGTGATGCCCGCCTGCAGCCAGATCACCTCCCCCTGCCAGCTGCCTGGGCGCCGGCTGCGGCTCACTCTGCTCGGACCTGCCGGCGGCCGAGATGGCCAGGCGGGGGGGTGCGGGGCCCCTCTGGGCGCTGAGCGGCGTGGCCCTGGGGGTCTGCCTCGCCGGGGTCGCTGGGCAGCTGGTGGAAGTGAGTCTGACGCGGAGGGGGGACCTCGGGGGGCCTTAGGGGGCTTGGGGGGGCCGGCCCGGCCAGGCGGGTGGGTGCCTTTCTGGCTGGAGCTGCTTTCCCGTGGGGGGCCTGGCTTCATGGGAACCAGCCGGGCCCCACATTTCCAGGCTGCGGGGAGACAGCCCCAATCTGGGCCCTGGTCCCCTGATTTCAGGGGCGTTCTGTCCGAGGGGGGAACTCACTTTGACCTGATTTTAGGGATCCAGATCTGACGGGGGGACAGCGGGTCCCGTCCGCTGGGGTCCCTCAGCTCCTCTCCCCAGTGTCCGTCTAGAGGGCCTGGGAGAGGGATGACCACGAGTCTGATGGGGCTCTAGTCCCTGGTTTGGGGGCGGAAACAGCGTCTGCCGCCCACAGTCCTCCCCAGGCCCCTGTCCTCTGAAGGCCAACCTCCCTCGGGAAAAAGGTGAGGAAATGGCATTCCACGCCGGAGGCTGGGGCAGGCGGTGATGACTGCCTTAGCCCAGGAGGGAGGGTCTGTCTTGGTCCTTGTGTGTGAGGGGGTGAGGGCCAGCTGAGGTTTGTAGAGGGGAGAATCGTGCTGAGACCCGGTTTGGACAGAAGAGAACACAGTGGAAAGGGGGCGTGTTTGTTGGGAGACCTGGGAGGAGCTGCTGAGACACCAGGAAGAGGTGAGGAAGATGGCTGGGGGGGGAGATGGCTGGGGGGGGGGGGCAGCAGCCTGGCTGGGGCCAGGAAGGGCTGGGCAGTGCTGGGAGGGGCCCTCTGCAGCCTCCCGGCCCCTCTACCCATTGCTGCTGATCTCGGAAGGGGTGCCAAAGGCAACCAGACCCAGAATTCTGTAGCATGAGATGCAGAGAAAGCAGGGAGATACCCAGGAAGGCCCTGGAGTGGCAGGTGCTAGGGACAGGATGGGAGAGGGCGGGCAGGCCTGTGCTGGGGTCAGAGGTCACAGCCGGCTGTGATGGTCTGGGAACATGGGTGGGGCCAGAGCCTTGCCGCCCAATGCTAGCCGTCCCTGCTGCTGGCCGGGGTGTGGTCAGGGCACGGGGCTGGAGTTAGATGTCAACTCCGGTGTTTCTGTAAGGGGAGCCAGGCTGGCTTGAGCTGGGGCTTGGGCACCTCGCTGCTGCCCTGAGGCCTCAGATGCAGAAACTGAGCTGGCCTGGGGGCCGGGAGGCGGGGGTCGGGCGGGGTGGGGGCGAATCAGTCTGAGCCAAGGACTCCTCCGCCCAGAGCAGGGCTCCTCCCAGCTCGTTAAGGGAAAGTGCATTTGGAGTCCATCTACCTGCCACTGCAAGGGCCTGGCGGAGCCGGGGATCAGGGAAGCACCGGAGAGATGGGCCAGCTAGGCCCCTGCACCCCCCTCCCAGCCCTCCAGCGTCAGCGCAGAGGCTGAGTCTCCGATGGGGGTTCAGACCCAGCGGTGCCCCCCACAGGAGACAGCCGATTGTTCCTGTCACCCTCCACCAGGATCCCGCCTCTGCCGGCTCTGTCCTGACACTGCCCACCTGTCCTCGCACCACACGTGGGCCCTGTACCCAGTGTGTGCTCCACCCCAGGTGTGCCCCACCCCCCACCCTGACTCCAAGGTCACCCTGGTTAAGAGAAAAGAGCCAGGGAATCGGGTACCAATTCCTCACAAAGACCCTCTGGCTTCCCGGGACAGGCTCCCTGGAGGAGGGGGAGGAGGGGGAGGAGGGGGAGGAGGGGGAGGAGGGGGAGGAGGAGAAGGGGAAAAAGGTGGGGGAGGAGGGAGAGGAGGAGGAGGGGAAGGAGGTGTGGGAGGAGAAGGATGGGAAGGAGGTGGGGGAGGAGGAAGAGAAGGAGGAGGAGGGGAAGGTGGGGGAGGAGGGAGAGAAGGAGGAGGAGGGGAAGGTGGGGGAGGAGGGAGAGGAGGAGGAGGGGAAGGTGGGGGAGGAGGGAGAGGAGGAGGAGGGGAAGAAGGTGGGGGAGGAGGAAGAGGAGGGAGGAGGAGGGGAAAGGGGAGGAGGGAGAGGAGGGGGAGGGAGAGGAGGGGGAGGAGAAGGAGGGGAAGGAGGTGGGGGAGGAGGGGAAGGGAGAAAATGTGGGGGAGGAGGAGGAGGGGAAGGGGGAGGAGGGAGAGGAGGAGGAGGGGGGAGGAGGAAGAGGGGAAAGGAGAGGAGGGAGAGGAGGGGGGAGGGAGAGAAGGGGGAGGAGAAGGAGGTGGGGGAAGAGGGAGAGGAAGGGGGAGGAGGAGAAAGGGAAGGGAGAGGAGGGAGAGGAGGAAGAGGAAGAGGAGGAGGAGGAGGAGGGAGAGGAGGGGGAGGAGGGAGGGGAAGGGGAGAAGAAGAAGGGGAAGGAGGTGGGGGAGGAGGGAGAGGACGGAGGAGGAGGGGGAGGGGGAGGGGGGGGGAGGAAGAGCCTGGCTGGTGGGGGGACCCCATCCCTGCTTTGGACCCAGGAAAGGCTGATGGTCCGCGGCCTGCGGGCTGCCTTTCCTCCCAGACCCCCAGGGACTCCTCAGGCTGGTCCTTGTTCATTGGAGGACGAATGGCTCACAGATGGCCAGGCTCTTCCCTCCTGAACACTGAGTCCCATCCACACCCTCAGCCAAGTGTGGGGACAGCGGTCATGTCCCTGTCAGATCAGGGCAGGTCTGCAAGAACCGCCTGGAGCAGGCCTGGCCCGCCCAGACCCCAGAGCAATGCTGTCCCCTTAGAACCCCCCGGGTAGGGCCGTGTCCCTGAGCGTCCATTCGGTCCTCCGAGGCGGGGCCACGCCCCGGGGCCCCGGGAAAGGGCCACGCTCCCCTCAAGCCTCCAGCGAGCACTGGGCCCACTGGGAAGGGGAGGCGGCTGGCTCTGCCCGGCCTGGCTGACATGTTCCCCATGTGCTTACATGGTTCAGCCTCCAGGTGTCGCTGCCGTACTGTGGACAAATGATCTGTTCTGTCTGGATCGGCCTTGTCCCAGCCCTGGCTTTGAGGTGTGGGGTCCTGGCCAGGCGCAGCCACAGGCTCCCCACCTATCCAGTCTGGGGGGGTGGGCAGACTGGATAGCCAAGTCCCCAGGATAGTACAGACCTCGCCTTGTCTCTGGCCTTCGTCCTGAGTCCCCGTCTGCCTGTGAGGGCCAGGACTGGAAGAGGAGGAGAGACCCACAGGCTATTGGAGGGACTGGAACCAGCGGGGGCATTTTGCCCTTTGGCCTTGGTATCCCCAAGCACCAACCACCCTTGCCCTCCACATCCCGGCTCCATGGTTCTGGGGCTCGGCTCTCGTGTGCTGAATTGGGAACTTCCTGAGGTCTAGGACAGCGAGTTCTAACGGTGACGGGAAGATTTAAAACATGCAGCACTCGTACGTAGTCAGGGCACTGGCCTCATTCCCTCAGACCCGGGTGGGGGGGTCCAGCCCCCAGGCCAGCAGTCACTTGGTCTGGCCCTGCTAAGGTATGAGGGGTGAGTTAATTAAATGCCTGACCCACTGCAGCAGGCTGATTTTTTTTACTTTTATTGAATTTTTCTGCCCCGCCCACTTCCCTCCTGCAGGCTAATTTTTTTATTTAATCAATCTTTATTGTTCATATTATTACAAAGGTTCCTCATTTCTTCCCCCCTCCACCAGGTTCCCACCCCACCCTCCGCCCCCTTCCCATCCCCCATTGTCCTCATCCATAGGTGCAGTTTATGTTCAGTCTCTTCTTCCCTCCCTTTCCCCAATAGTAAATCCCTTTTCAGATAGTAAATCAGTTACTTAGCATTTTCTCATATCAATAATACCTCCACATGCCCAATGATACACTTCACACAAAAGACATTTCCCAATAGGTCAACTAGCCTCATCCAGGCCCCACCCAAGGCACTCACAGATCAACACCCCAGCCCTATACTAACTCAACACATCCAGATCTAAGCCTTCATCACTTGATTCAGCAGACCCTCAAGTTCCCACGAAAGTTTCCAGCCATGTCTGAGAAGCAGCCGTGGGGCAGGGGCAGGCAAGGAGCGAGCTGTTCTGGGCCTGGTTGCTCAGGGCCTGGCCTCCGTTGCTCTGGTTCATTCCACAACCAGCTGCTCCGGGTCTGGTCACTGCCGCTCCCGACCTAGTTGCTCTGGACTTGGCTGCTGCTGCTCCGGGCCTGGCCGCTCCCAGCCTGGCAGCCGCTGCTCTGGGCCTGGCCACACCCGACCCGGCTGCTCCCCCAGGCCTGGCCGCTCCCAGCCTGGTAGCCGCTGCTCTGGGCCTGGCCGCACCCGACCCGCTGCAGGCTAATTTTTAAGTCGGTGACTTTGTAGGGCCCACGAATGGTGCTTTAAATACCCAATGGCCTTGGCAGGAAAACGGTTCCCCACCCCTGCCTTAGATCGTCAAATAAATAAGTGACAGCAGCCGAAACCGGTGTGGCTCAGTGGCTAGAGCACCGGCCTGTGCACTGAAAGGTCCCAGGTTCAATTCCGGTCAGGGGCATGTACCTTGGTTGCAGGCACATCCCCAGTGGCGGGTGTGCAGGAGGCAGCTGGTCGATACTTCTCTCTCACCGATGTTTCTAACTCTCTATGCCTCTCTCTTCCTGTCTGTAAATAATCAGTAAAAAAAAGAAAGTTAGTTACCCACACGACGATAGCCGTCAGTGTGAACGCATCAAAAGTAAACACTAGTTTTGGTCAGATCAGCAGGACTGTTTTCCATTGCCGCGGGCTCTCAGGAATCGGTGTGTGAGCCTGAGAATGAGGTTGGGAGGCGCTGGTCTGGGCAGTGGGTTCGGGGGCTCCTGAAGGGCCTGGCTAGTCCTTGCTGAGACCAGGCCTCTGGGCTGTCCGGCCCGGCTCCCGGCTCACTGCCTTCTCCCCCCGCAGCCCAGCACGGCCCCGCCCAAGCCCAAGCCGCCGCCGCTGACCAAGGAGACGGTGGTGTTCTGGGACATGCGCCTGTGGCACGTGGTGGGCATCTTCTCCCTCTTCGTGCTGTCCATCAGTGAGTACCCCCGTCCGCCCCGCACCCGCCCGGCTCCTCCCAGGGGCTCGGCTTGGGCCAGCAGTTCCCGGCAGTGCCCGCGGGAGGCCTGCTGTGGCTCCTGGCGCCTCCGTCCACGCAGAGTCCCCGTGGAGGGCGAGCAGGCAGTGGTGACCTGAAGCATTCTGCCCGCCAAACGGGGAAGCAGCCACAGGGCAATTAGGGTGATTACAGGGCCTCGGATCCGGGACGGGATGTGTCATTTCTCCCCTTCGGGCCTCCTGACGCTGTTCCTGAGTTCAGCCAACTTACAGGGCCCACACCCAGGGGCCCAGCAAGGCCACCCGGCGAGGCCCCGCCCAGAGGCTCCCAGATGCCCAGCAGATGTGTCTCCCCGGCTGCAAGCCCTGCCCTGTCACATTCCACAGCCCTTGTGCCTCCACCATCTCAATGAAAAGCAGGAGACACCTTTCGGGGGGGGGGGGGGGCTTGAAGCAGCAGAAATAGAAATGGGCTGGATGTGCTCCTTGGGGGATCTGGCCTGGAGTTGGGGGCGGGCAGAGACACGCCAGCTTGTGAGGAGGCCGCCATGGCAGTCTGGGGGTTCCTACAGGCCAAGGGAATGGGGGCACGCTGCAAAGGCACGTGGCGGGGAGCGTCCCCGGTGGATGCTGGAGGCCCCCACGGGGCGGGGGTGGTGTGGGCAGAGGCCTCAGATAACCCTCGGCATCTCCCCAAGCGCCTGGCCTGGTCGGGTAAAGCGCATGCCGGCTCTGAGGGAGCTGTCCCTGAGGCAGCGCCTGCTGACAGCATGAGACACACCCAGACGGGACTCCCAGCGAGACGGGGACATCTGACTGGCACGTGCTTCTCCTGGCTCCAGATGTGGGGACCCCACCCCCATTTCTTCACCGCCTGGTGGGGCCCGGATCTGAGCAAGAGGCTGTGTGATTCCTAGCCGAGGCTGGGCACCAGGCAGGCTTCTGGGTGCAGGCCCGCGGCAGACGGGGATCCACGGAGGGGGGGAGTCAAGCCCCATCCTGCCAGGTGGGGGGGCGGGGCTCTGGCCTGCAGAGGCCACAGGGGGCCCAGGGGCAGCTCCGGGCACACAGTGGCCTCTCCCGGGCTCGGCTCGGCCCCACGTGGTAGAGGTGCCAGGCCCGAGGCACCGGGACACCAACCACACAACCGACACGTGCCCCTCACACCACCTCCTAGAAGAGGGTGAGGACGGCCCACAGGCCGAGCCTCCCTGCTCCCCAGTCTGCGTGAACCCCCGAGGCACAGCTGTGCGGGGCATCACCCCCAGACCCTGTGGAGAGGGGCTGGGGGTGTTTGGGGTGCCTCTGGGGTCTCCTCTGGCCTGGGCCCTGGAACTCAGTCAAAAGTCCTTTGGAGTGGAGCCACGGGGCGGGCCCGGAGCGAGGGGTGGTGTCTGAGCCCTGCCCGGCCCCCATGGCTGCCCTTTGTGCTCCCTGAAGCCCAGCCCCTGGCCTGGAAGCAGCTCCATCCCTTCCCGAGGCTGGGCCGGTGGAGGGCCTGGGGGGTAGAAGACGTGGCAGCCAGTCGGGTTGGGTGAGGGACCCGCCTTGGGCACCGGCACGCAGAGTCTGGAGAAGACCAGGCTCCAGCCCTCGGGTCAGGAAGGCTGTCTACGCAGGCCTACCCCACAGCCAGGCCGTCCCTTCCTCTGGGGCCTCACGCAGCCCCCAGCAAGCTCCTGGGTGTGACTGCCCCCAGGCCCCGCCCATTCATTCAGGAGCCAGTCTTGTCCTCAGCAGCAAAAGCCTTGAGACCCATTCACTCGTTCATTTTTTCCTTTCCTCTGCGAGCCTGGTGAGACGCAATGGGCCGTGACATTTGGCTGAAGCTGCACAGGGCGGCTCCAGAGGGTGCCCCTGCTCAGGCCAGGTCGGGTCGGTCTGACCCACTGTCCCAAAACACGCGGCTTGTCCTGCCCGCCCTCCTGTCCCGGAGTCTGCCCAGGACTTACAGCAGGAAGCAGCTCCCCCCTCCTGAGACTGGGCCCACGGTGGTCAGACCGTGGGGCCTCGGGAACGTAAACTCAGTTCAGCCAGGCCCCGGCCGCCCTGTCGCCGTGCCCCTCACCGGGCAGGCCAGCGCCGTGCCCTGGCCCCAGGTGCCTGGGCGCCGCCCCAGCAGGAAACCGGCTCCTGGAATAACTCAGGCTGAGTGACCGCCCGCCCGCGCAGGGCTGGCCGGCGGCTCTCACAGCCAGGAGAGGCCCGGGCGTCCCCAGGGAGGGGCGGAGGGGCACTCTGACCCACCGGGGCCGGGGCGGAAGCCGGGCACTCCAGGAAGCCCAGCTGAGGGACTCCGTCTATTCAGGACCTCTGGACCAGGACCCGGGACAGGGCAGGGCCCAATGGGAACCTGAGGCCCCTGGTTCAAGCAGCATTGAGAACCGCAAGACAGTGAGAGCAGAGCGCTAGCCCCGGCACAAGCCCTCCTACGAGTGTGTGACCAAGTAGCCAGCCCGGTCCGGAGCCTTTAAAATCCCAGGCCCAAGAGGGCTTTTGTCCAGACTCGAGCCTCACCCTGGCCTGTTTGGCTCAGTGGATAGAGCGTGGGCTTTCAGACTGAAGGGTCCCTGGTTCAGTTCCTGTCAATGGCACATGCCTGGGTTGTGGGCTCAATCCCCAGTAGGATGACTCTCTTTCCTCATTGATGTTTCTCTCTCTCTCCCTCTCCCTTCCTCTCTGAGACCAAAAGGAAGGAAGGAAAGAAGGAAGGAAGGAGAGAGGGAGAGAGGGGAAGGGAGGAGGAAGGAAGGGAGGGAAGAAGGGAGGGAAATAAAATTACTAAAAAGAAAAAGCCTCCTAGCAGTGTCTTAGGTGAGACAGCACTAGGCAGAGGGAGGCACGCCCGCCTGAGGTATGGGCACCTTCCTGGTGCCAAGCTCCAGCCCTGGCCACACCCTCGCTGTCCCCTCCAGTTATCACTCTGTGCTGTGTTTTCAACTGCCGTGTGCCGAGGACGCGGAAGGAGATCGAAGCCCGCTACCTGCAGCGGAAGGCGGCCAAGATGTACACTGACAAGCTGGAGACTGTGCCACCCCTCAATGAGCTCACAGAGGTTCCTGGAGGTGAGCAGCCAGGCCCTCTGCCCACCACTGCCCCGCCCCCGCCCCCGCCCCCGCCCAACCCTGCGGAGCCAGCCAGTGCCCCAGACCTGCCCCAGTGGGCTCAGGGAGGGCACCAGGACACAGAGCTGGCCAGGGTGAGCGGGAAGAACGAAGAGAGGCTGTGCAGGTGGGAGAGGCCTGGAGGGAAGACGGCAGTGAGGGGCTGGGCGTGGGGCTGCGGGTGAGCCGTAGGGCGCTATCTCACGCCTGGCGTGTGCCCCTTTGCCCCTCAGATGACAAGAAGAAGAAGAAGAAAAAGGACAGCGTGGACACGGTGGCCATCAAGGTAGAGGAGGATGAGAAGAATGAAGCCAAGAAGTGAGAGGGAATCAAGGAGAGCTTCCTGGAGGCGGCAGCCTGGACTCCACGCTCCTCCCTGAGCCCGCCAGGGGCAGGGACCAGACCGCAGGTGTGCTGCCTCCCAGCCTGGGCTCCGCTACTTCTCCCCTGTCCACATGGCCACTCAGCAAGCGGGCCGGGGCCACCGTCCCTCCGCAGATCAGAGCAGCCTGCACCCTGACAGGAGGGTCTCACCCTCTGGCCAGAGCACAGGGAGCTAATGGAGCGGCACGCTGTGGGGTCACACGGGAAAGCACGTGAACCAATGGGCACCGGGAGCTGGGCGCAGGCGGCTCTCAGGCTGTGCTGGACGGCAGCCCTGCGTGAGGGGTCAGCCCCCCGCCCAGCAGGGGCTCGGGTCCAGCGGGGGCGTGGAGGTGGCCAGAAGCAGAACCCCCAGCCCCGCAGCCGAAGCCCCTGGCAGCAGGATGCACTTGGTTTACACTCAGGGATGGAGCAGAGGCTGCTGGGTCAGCAGAGGCTGGGGCTCAGGGCTGGGCTGCAGGTGTCAGGGGTGCGGGAGGCTGCAGCCGGGGCCCGGGGAGGAGGGAAAAGAGCGGCCTTCGGGATCCAGGGAATCGCTGAGAAGCCAGCGGGCCGGGCTGTGCCGTCACCTTCTCCATCGGCCCCAGGGGATCACCGAGGGGAGCTGGGATTGAGGCGCCTCTTCTCCCACCCTCAACCACAGGCCTTAAGCACGGCGAGGAGGAGGCCCCGGGTGAGAGGCGCGGAGGGCTTCCGCAGGGCCACGAGCACCAGCCGGGCGTCCAGGGACGTCCCGGGGCCTGGGGCCTAGGAGATCCCAGAGGGTGCTGGCTGGAGGCGGGGAGGGCGGCAGAGATGAATAAATAAAGCTGAGTGCCTTCCACCCCCACCTGGAGCGCGGTGACAGCAGAGCCGGTGAGGTCCCTCCTGGCTCTCCGAGGGAGTCAGGTGCCCAAGAGCAGGGGCAGCTGTGGCTTCAACAGGCCTTCGGGGGTCTGAGCCCAGGGCTGGGTGTGCCCTGGCCACTGCCGGGCCGTGCCAACGGCAAGGAGAGCCTGGCTCCAACCAAATTAACGGGAGCACAAATTCAGCTCCAGGCCCACAGCTGCCTCCCCGCCTCCATCGCAGTGTCCTCCATCGCTGACCCCGGATCATCGCTGCGCACACTCCCCCGCCTTCTGCAGGGTCCACACCCCCAACCCCCCCCCTCCACACACACATTGAGGCCGGCCCTGGGCCCCGCTCCCGCCGGAGCAGCCAGAGCGCGGGCTCCAGGCCCAGGAAGGAGGCTCGAGAGGAAGAGAACGGTTTAATGAGCGCCGGGTCCGGGCCCTGCCTGGGGACAGGAGAGCGGCCTGTCCTGGCCGAGGGCGCGGAGGGGCCCCCGGGGGGGCGCCCAGGGAGGCCTGCGGTGTCAGCAGGCAGCGAGGAGGCTGAGGGGCAGCGCCAGCGCCAGGAGCGGGCCGGCCGGGGCGGGCAGCGCCTGCCCGTTGATGCGCGCCCACACCCAGTGCTGGTAGGCCGAGACGCGCAGGTAGATGGGCGGTGCCTCGCTGATGCTGCAGCCGGGCCCCCAGCTCACCATGCCCACCAGGAGCCACGTGCCCTCCGCGGGGCAGGACAGGGGCTCCCCGCTGGTCTCCTGGGGGGCGGGGGGGCAGAGGTCAGGGCGGCCAGGCGTGGCCCCGGGGAAAGGGGACCAGGCTCAGGGACCAGCAGGACTTCACACAGATGGTGCCCACACCCCTGAGTGTTCCTGGCCGAGCAGCACCCAGGAGGCCTCCCACAGAGGGTGCTCTCCCTGCGCTCTGGAGTCAGTCCTCCATCCCCCCTTACCCACCTCCGTCTCCCACCCCCCACTCTCCACCTGGCCTCCATTTCTTCTCCATCCCTCTCCCTTCCCCATCTTCCTGCTCCATGGCCCTGCTCATTCCTTCCCTCTCCCCCCTCCACATCCTGGCCTAGGGCTTGGAGGGCAGGGGCAGGGGCCGGGGCCGGGGCAGGGGCAGGGCAGGGGCAGGGGCAGGGCCAGGGCCAGGGGCAGGGCAGGGCAGGGGCAGGGGCAGGGGCAGGGCCGGGGGCCGGGGCAGGGCCGGGGGCCGGGAACAGGGGAGGGGCAGGGTTAGGGCAGGGGCAGGGGCAGGGTTAGGGGCAGGGGCAGGGGCAGGGGCAGGGGCAGGGGCAGGGGAGGGGCAGGGGCAGGGACAGAGCAGGGGCAGGGTTAGGGGCAGGGCAGGAGCGGGGCAGGGGCAGGGGCAGGGCAGGGGCAGGGGCAGGGGCAGGGGCAGGGACAGAGCAGGGGCAGGGTTAGGGGCAGGGCAGGAGCGGGGCAGGGGCAGGGGCAGGGGCAGGGGAGGGGCAGGGGCAGGGACAGAGCAGGGGCAGGGTTAGGGGCAGGGCAGGAGCGGGGCAGGGCAGGGGAAGGGCAGGGCAGGGGCAGGGGCAGGGCCAGGGGCAGGGGCAGGGCCGGGGGCCGGGGCAGGGCCGGGGGCCGGGGACAGGGGAGGGGTAGGGGCAGGGTTAGGGGCAGGGGCAGGGGCAGGGGCAGGGTTAGGGGCAGGGGCAGGGGCAGGGGAGGGGCAGGGGCAGGGACAGAGCAGGGGCAGGGTTAGGGGCAGGGCAGGAGCGGGGCAGGGGCAGGGGCAGGGGCAGGGGCAGGGTTAGGGGCAGGGCAGGAGCGGGGCAGGGGCAGGGGCAGGGCAGGGGCAGGGGCAGGGTTAGGGGCAGGGCAGGGGCAGGGCAGGGGCAGGGGCAGGGGCAGGGCAGGGGCAGGGCAGGGGCAGGGGCAGGGGAGGGGCAGGGGCAGGGACAGAGCAGGGGCAGGGTTAGGGGCAGGGCAGGGGCAGGGGCAGGGGAGGGGCAGGGTTAGGGGCAGGGGCAGGGCAGGGCAGGGTTAGGGGCAGGGGCAGGGGCAGGGTAGGGGCAGGGCAGGAGCGGGGCAGGGGAGGGGCAGGGGCAGGGACAGAGCAGGGGCAGGAGCGGGGCAGGGGAGGGGCAGGGGCAGGGACAGAGCAGGGGCAGGGTTAGGGGCAGGGCAGGGGCAGAGCAGGGGCAGGGCATGGGCAGGGACAGAGCAGGGGCAGGGACAGAGCAGGGGCAGGGGCAGGGCAGGGCAGGGCAGGGCAGGGCCGGGCAGTGCTCACGTAGCAGAAGTGCTCCCGGTCGGTGTCCTGCACACAGACCATCTGGGAGTTGATGATCCGGATGAGGGAGGGGATTCTGGAGAACCGGTGGTAGAAGTCCTCGCACTCCCTGGTGCTGAGGACGGTGACGTCCTTCTCCTGGATGGTCCGGGACTGCGGCCAGGAGCCTGCGGACAGGCCCCCTCAGGCGGGGCTCCTCGCCAGCTCCCAGCCTTCCCCGCGGGCCACACGGCGGACCAGGTGGGGGTCTCTCCAGGGTCAGCCACCTGCCGTCCCAGCCTGCCCTCCCCCAGCTCCCCTGAGGGGGACCCGGGTAGGGCCCCCAGTCTGGCCTCCCACAGGGTCCCACCCGCTGAGTCCATTCCTGCCCTTCCTTCCGCCCAAGACCCTGCTCAGAGGCTCCTCCCTGAGCCGGCCAGCGCCCCTCAGCCCCCAGCACGGCCCCCTCCCTCCCCTCGCTGGTCTGCTGGTCTCGTCCACAGCCTGAGCCTGGAGACTTCTGATCCTCCCCGGCCTCTGACAGCCTGTGGCAGGGAAGACAGAGCAGCCAGCCGCTCCCCTGGGCTGGAGTGGGGGTGACGCGGGGCTGGGGTGGGGGTGGGGTGGGGGGACTCGGGGAAAGGCAGGTGCCTGAGGAGGGGCCGCCCTGCTCCTAAGGAAGCGGACCCCGGAGGGGCCAGCTTCCTGCTCTGGGCCTTGCTCCCAATGGGATGACATGGGACTGAGGACCCTGGGGGGATCCCGAGGGACTCCCAGACTCTGGGGCCGACTACCTTGGGAGCTTCTCCCAGACAAGAGCCGGCTCCTCTCACCTCCATGTTCTGCTTGAAGGCATGGCCCCCCCGGAATGCGGCCCCCCTGCCCGGCCTGGCCCGAGCTCCTGGGCACCCCTGCCCCCTGCGGCCTGAGGCCAGGCTGCTCGCTGCCGAGCCCCTCGAGGGGAAGACCACCTTGGGTAGAAGAGCCCGACAGGGCCCGGCCGCGTGGCTCAGGGGCTGAGCATCGACCTACGAGCCAGGAGATCAGGGTTCGATTCCTGGTCAGGCTCATGCCAGGGACGCAGGCTCCATCCCCAGTAGGGGGCGTGCGTGCAGGAGGCAGCCGATCCATTATTCTCTCTCCTCATTGGTGTTTCTATCTCCCTCTCCCTCTCCTTTCCTCTCTGAAATCAATAAAAACTTACTTTTTAAAAAAGGAGAGAGACAGCCCAGCAAGAAGGTGGGAGCAGGGCTCCCAGGGACCAGGCCTCAGAAACATCTGTCCACGGCCGCCGGCCGGCGAGCTGCCGCTCCCACGCCCGCCCGCTGCGGGCGGGACTCACCGTTGGCCCTGGGGCGGCCCCAGCCGGTCACGGTGCAGAGGGAGAAGTCCTGCACCTTGTAGTCCAGGCCGGGCAGGCAGATGGGCCACACGTACTTGCTGTAGGTGAGCGCTCTGTCGAGCCGCAGGAGGGCGATGTTGTTGGCCTTGCCCACCCAGGACCAGTAGCGCCGGGCCCGGAACCGGCTGTTGAGGATGACCTCGCGCACGCCGACGTCCACCGTGGTCGGAGCCCGCTGGTCGATCCAGGGGCTCCCCATCCGCACCGAGTAGGTGACACCGTCCCTGGGGAAGTACCAGGGCGTCTGTGTCAGCGCCAGGCACCCCGGCCCGACCACTGCCACTCTCGGAGCGGAGACCTGCCGCGGAGGGAGCAGAGCCCAGCCCTGCACACAGTGCGGCCGCGTCCTCCTCGGAGGGAAACCGAGGCTCGGAGAAGCCCAGGGCCCGCTCAGGGCTACACAGCAGGAAAGAGTGGAGGTGGCATGGCCCTCGCTTCCTCTGGAGTCTGTCCTGGCCTGGGATGCGCCCAGAAGTGACAGGCCCCGAACTGGGCCCTGGCCTCGCCCCTGGCCTCCTTTCCCAGCATGCCTCTGGAGCCTGTGCGGACCCTAGGCCGGACCCTCGTGGCCAGCACAGCGTCTCCCTCAGCCGCTCCCCGCACCAGAGCTCGGCTGCCCTCCCTCTGGTCCCCTCACTGACTAGGCGCCACGGTGGCACCACGTTCTTGTCTGAGGGCGAGCTGGTCCTCTCCCCGCCCGGTGCCCAGGCCGGCCCGCTGCCGCGGGTGACAAAGCTGCTGGTCCATGAAGGAGGAGGGAGGCACTGGGCCTGCTCCCTGTGGAAGCGGGACCGGGTGTGTGTGTGGGGGGGGGCGCTCTGCTCCTGGGAAAGCCAAGCCCTGAGCTCCTGACCTAGGCCGGCGGGCTCTGCCCGGGCACAGCAGCCAGGATGGGCCAGCAGGTGGAGGACGGGGCCCATGTGGCTCCAGCGCCCTCCCCCAGCCCACCGGGCCCCGACTCACTGGGTGAGGCAGTGGGCCACAGTCAGCACCCACTGGGCAGCGATGAGGGTGCCTGCACACACATGTGTGCCGTTGGCCCGCACGCTGGCCATCCATGGCCACCGCCGGGCGACGGCCTCCGGGTCCCTGAGGGTGGGGTCTGGCTCGTGGGAGCTGCCGCAGGCTGAGGAGGGAGGGCCAGGTGAGGGAGGGACCCTCCAGCTGCTCCCTGGCACCCCCACCCACCCCCTCTCTCACTCCAGCTCCTGCCAACCCCCCATGACTCCTCTCTACCGGCCAGAGAGCAAGATGCTGTCCCCATGGCCACGTCCAGCCGGCTCAGCACCAGCACCCCTCTCCCCACCCGTCCCAGCCGGTCCCTGGTCCCACAGACCCTCACAGCCCCCCTGCTTCCCCTACACCGACCCTCTCCCTCTCTGGGGACCCTCCTGGGGCTCAGAAAGGCAGGGACCTGACAGGAAATGGGCCACTGCACAGACATGCAGCCAGAGAGACTGCCACAGGCCAACTCAGGGCCTAAGGGAGGGACCTGGGGGAGGGACCTGGGGGAGGGGCCTGGGGAAACGGGGGATGGGAGATGGGCCTGGGGGAGGGGCTTGAGAGAGGGGCCTGAGGGACAGGGGGGGAACAAGGGGGGGGACAGGCCTGGGGGACGGGGGATGGGAGACAGGCCTGGGGGAGGGGCCTGGGGGAGGGGCCTGGGGGCGGTCCTGGAGGACGGGTGGGGTGGGAGAGGGGGGGGGCTGTGTGGACTGGAGTGAGTTAGGTCGGCTACACCGAGCCCCAGGATAGCGTGCTTCCAGGTGGAGGTCTCAGGGGCATGGCTGGAAGGCCACTGCGCAAGACCAGGCGTGCCCACTGCCAAACACCCTCCTTCTCCTCCTTCCCCTCCTCTACCTCCTCTTCCTCCTCCCCTCCCCCTCCTCCTTCTCCTCTTCTTCCTCCTCCTCATCCCCCTCCCCCTCCTCCTTCGTCCTTTCTGCCCTCATCTGAGGCCCTGGAGGCTTTCCCACCCAGTCCCTCCTCCACCCCCAGTCCCTCCTCCACCCCCAATCCCTCCTCCACCCCCAGTCCCTCCTCCACCCCCAGTCCCTCCCAGTCCGCGGTGCTCACTTTGCGGTGCGGCCGTGATGACCGGGGTAGTCGGGTTCTGCGTGGTGGTGGGGCCCGTGGGAGGGGGGCCCGTGGTGGTGGTGGGGCCCGTGGTGGTGGGGGGGCCCGTGGTGAAGGGGCCCGTGGTGGTGGGGCCCCACGGCTTCATGGTGGTGGTGGGGGGCCCCGTGGTGGGGGAGCCCGTGGTGGTGGGGGAGCCCGTGGTGGTGGGGGGCCCCGTGGTGGGGGGGCCCGTGGTGGTGGGGGGGCCCGTGGTGGGGGGGGGGCCCGTGGTGGTGGGGGGGCCCGTGGTGGGGGGGCCCGTGGTGGTGGTGGGGTTCTGCTGGGGGACTTGCCGGGGCGGACGAGGCCCCCCTGAGGGGCAGGTGGCGCTGGAGGCACCAGGGTCAGGGGGGGCAGCGCCCCAGCAGCCTGTGGAGGGAGGCGGAGGTCAGAGGTGGAGAGGGGCCCTGGAGGGGACAGGGGAGGGGGGATGGGGTTGGGGAGGACAGGGGAGGGCGGGGGAGGGGCGAGAGGGTGGGGTAGGTGGGGGAGGGGAGGGCAGGGGGGCAGGACGGACGGGGAGGGCAGGATGGGCTGGGGCAGGGGGCAGGGGCGGGAGGGGCGCTCACCCGCCGGCGGGAGCAATGGGAGCAGGAGGCCCAGGAGGCCCAGGAGGCCCAGGAGGCGGGGGCGGACCGGGGCGGGGACGGGAGGCTGGCACCGGCGCTCCATCCTGCCCAGCGGCTACTGCGCGCAGCTGCTCCCCCCGGCGCCCCCCAGCGGCCGCCGCCAGCTTCCGGCGCCCCCCAGCGGCCGCCCCCGGCTTCCGGCGACCCCCGGCGGCCGCCTCCTGCCCCCCAGTGGCCGCTCCCTGCCCCCCCAGCGCCCCCTAGCGGCCGACCCCTGCCCCCTGCGGCCGCCCCCGGCTTCCGGCGCCCCCCAGCGGCCGACCCCTGCCCCCCTGCGGCCGCCCCCGGCTTCCGGCGACCCCCGGCAGCCGCCTCCTGCCCCCCAGTGGCCGCCCCCTGCCCCCCGGCGCCCCCCAGCGTCCGTAGTGGCGCTCCCGGGTCTCGCTGCCAGGGCGCCCCCTGCTGGCTGGCCTCCCCACTGCCCCACTGGGCACCGGACCCTCCATGGCCCCTCCCCACCCCACCCCCCACCCCCTGGCCGGCCGCGTGGGCGCCCCCCCCACACACACACCGCCCACAGGCCTCGGGGAGCAGAGCCCTTTGCGTGTTGGAATTAGGGAACTGTTTTATTTTATTTTATTTTTTTAAATATATTTTATTGATTTTGTACAGCGAGGAAGGGAGAGAGATAGAGAGCTAGAAACATTGATGAGAGAGAGTCATCAATCAGCTGCCTCTTGCACACCCGCAACCAAGGTACATGCCCTTGACTGGAATCGAACCCGGGACCCTTCAGTCCCCAAGCCGACGCTCTATCTATTGAGCCAAACTGGTCCCGGCTTATTTTATCTTTAATTAAGGCATTACATGCGTCCATAGCTCACTGCTGCCCTCCCACACACATGCCCTCCCCCCAGGGTTCTGCCTCGCACACAAGCCCCTCCGTTAATCTCTTACCCCCACCGCACTCTGCCCCCCCTGCCATGGACAGTCTGATGCTTGGCTGTCTCTGTGTCTACCTTTTTGTCCATCGGTTTATAATGTTCCTTATTATCCATACATGAGTGAGGTCATGTGGTGTTTCTCTTTCATTGACTGCTCATTTCACTCAGCATGATGGTTTCCAGTTCCATCCAGGTGGCTGCAAATGATGAGAATTCCTCCTTTTATGGCAGCGTAGTATTCCATTGTGTAGATGGACCATCGGTTTCTGATCTAATCATCTGCTGATGGGCACCTAGGCTGTTTCCAAATCCTGGCTATTGTAGATTGTGCTGCTATGAACATGGGGTGCATATGTCCTTTCTGATTGGTGTTTCTAGTTTATCAGGATATGGGATTAGGAAACATTTTGATGGCCCCACCACATGGATGGAGAGAGCATTGAGAATGCCGTCTGGGGGGAGGGGAGGCCCAAAAGGCCCAGGAAGCCACGCCAGGACATCCTGGCCTCGGCCGGGGCTGCCACCCGGCCCTCGTCTCTGAGGACTCAGCCAGTCACACCCACTACCCTCCCAGGGCCCACGGGCACAGGAGCTGAGCCCTCGGGACCTGAGCCCCTCCAGGGCTGAGGGGCCCACTCCCTCCCCACTCGGCGGGACGCTGCCCTGGGTCCAGAGCCCGATGGGTCCCCGAGGCGGCTCGGTGTGCACCCCCACCCAGTCACCCAGGCGGCATGCCCTGCCCTCCCTGCCCCCTCACCCACCCTGCGGGGAGAGAGAAGCGGTAGATGTGGTAAAGCCGGGGGACACGGGCTGGGAGAGGCCGCTTCTGGAACAGGGTCCACAGGGCAGGCCTGCGGTTTGTCTTGGGAAGAGACGGACCCTCCCAGGAAGGCCCTGGGGGAACTGTGGTCGGGGCCAGGCCTGGGGGCCTGGGTGGGGAGGCGAAGGAGATGGGCAGGTAGGGGTCAGGGGGTAGGGGGCGGCAGGGCAGGGGCCGGCCAGAGTCTAGACGAGAGATGACTTCGGTGGGAAAAGTGAAAAAGCATCTTCATTGAACAACTGGAAGCCAGCGGCGTGCCCTCCCTCCCTCCCTCGCCCGGGGCTCCTGCCCTGTGCCCGCGGCCTGCGGGCCCCCTCTCGGCGGGCGGAGAAGCAGCCTGGCTCCAGCTGGACGCGCCCGGCAGCACTGCTCACAGGAGCCGCAGGGAGCCCAGGGAGCCCAGCAGGATGTAGCCGGTGTGCAGGGCCGGGCTCAGGAAGGCGGGCTGCGCCCTGCTCTTGAACTGCACGTCTGTGATCTGCCTCTGGATCCAGTGGGTGAAGTGGGAGGTGCTGGTGTAGATGTTGGGGAAGCGGTGCTTCTTGCAGCTGAAGCTCCAGCTCTCCACCCCCATCTGGATCCATGTCTTGTTCACCTGGCAGACCAGGGAGCTGCCCGAGTTCACCTGCCAGGGCAGAGGGGCGTCAGGGAGGCCCAGGCGAACTCGCCCTCCACAGGCTGCGGCCTCAGCGTGAGCCAGGCCTCGGGCCCCTGAGGACAGGGCCTGGCGGGGACCCGCTCGGCACCCAGCGGCTCCACACTGGGACCCCCAGTCGGGGCCTGGCTGTCCTTCCCCTTCAGTCTCCTGCAAACTCCCCTGAGTCCTGGGGGGCCGCCAAGGGGGTGCCCGACCTTCCTTCCCGCAGTCCTGCTTGCACGGTGAGCCAGTGGAAATGCACCCGACCCCTCCTCCTTTGTTACAGCAGCATCGGTCAATCCAAAGGTAACTGCTGTTGTTCCTCTGGATGGCAGGTTTATGGTCATTTAAAAAATTTTACACTCTTCTATGTCATTGAAAAGTTTTGTAAATTAGGGAAAAAATGGTTCTCTCTATAGATATAAACGATATAAAATGTTTGGTTAATCCTCACATGAGGACATTTTTTCCCATCGATTTTTAGAGAGTGGAAGGGAGCAGGAGAGACAGAAAGAACTTGATGTGGGAGAGACACACCGATTGGTTGCCTCCCCTATGTGCCCAGGGATTGAGCCCCCAACCGAGGTACATGCCCTTGGCCAGTATCGAACCTGCGACCCTTCAGTCCGCAGGCCGACGCTCTATTCACTGAGCCACACCGGCCAGGGCAATGATACAGATTTCTGAAAAAATAATGCAAACCTCTGAACCACCAGTTCTTTGCAGGATGCAGCCCCTGGAAAATTCTGGAGCATGTCAATAGGGAAATGAGTGTAAGAATATTTGGAGGAGCAGAATCTGTGATGTGAGAAAAAAACAACAACTGGAAACTGCTTCAATGTAGTAGAAAGGATAAGCTGTGGCATATTCACCACAGGGAATATCGTGGGCAGAGCTGATTCATGACTCAGTTGCACCTATCACTACGGCTAAATCTCAAAAAACAATGTTGAACAGAAGATGCAAG